TCAGCTAATTTGCTAAGGTTCTGTCCTTTCAGCCTCCTTCTGGACGGGAGCTTCTGTAAAAAGCTGGCTGCAGTTCGCCATCTTGGCTCCGCCCCCCTGAAAACTCTTAATATTGGCTTCAAACATATCTTTCTGACTGGAGCTGAGGAAGCAAACCTGCTGAGAAGTATTCAGGGAGGTGTCCTCAGCCATCAGTGGTGCCAAATTTCCATATTTTATTCAGCTGTAAGAATTCTCAAGAAGACACACTGTCTCCTTGTTTGGAATCCATGAGTTATGTATGGTGCCAGAAATCTGGGCTTCATGGATTTACTCAAATTTCGTTTTAGTTTGTCCTGTCATGGCATATTCTGGTTTTTTCAAACATAAGTTGACAAAAAAGGTCCTTGAATTACTCCCAGACAGACTCACCGTGTTAGACCCCAGACCCTCACCTGAAGACCTCTCTGGGTCAGTGAATAGATGATCTTTTACACCAATCTCCAGGCTATGTCTCTGTTCCTTCCTCACATCCTTCTTTGATGGAAACATTTCTGAGCATCTCTCATGGGAGTATTGGGAGTGACTCAATCCAAATCTCTCTGGATCTTCACTGCTCTGACTTTTACAGAAAGAGATCCATGAGCATCCATAATGACACTTGGACTTGGATGTCTCAGGAGGGTCCCAGTGGGGATTTAAAAGTGACACAGACTCATGGACCCTGAGGGGCAGGCCCTACTGGTGTTGGATGAGCCTCTTTTGAAGGTGGTGCTCTAGTTTCTTCTGAAGCTCACTGCTGAGAGGAAAATCTCCAGGAAGGATAGAGCTGGGAACATAAGCCCTGGAGGACTGGCTGGTCAGTGTAATGTGGGGAGCTGGAGGGCACAAGTCTGCCTGAGATTTCTTGACCATGGAGGGCAAAGTGCACTGAACTTCTTGTTGTTTCTGGAGCATGTTCAAGGCACTGGGCCTCTTTCTTTTGTTCATGGACACCCACTCCATAGAGCCTCATCTGGGGCAGAGGCTCAGGTGGTTTAATTGGGAGTGGGGATTGCAGTTGGGTCTGAGACTGGCCCTGCATTACCTCCAAGGTCTTAGCATGATGGGGCTGCTGATGCAGGTGCAGCTCCTCTGCTCTGTCTCTGTGAGTGCACAGAGGAAGGGGAACTGCTGATTCATGCTCATCAGCAGTTGAGGTGGACATGTTTGCTGGAAGAGTTAGTGAATTGTCTGACGTAGGTTGCTCTGGAAAAAATCTCATTTTGTTTTTGTTTTTCTTCCAGAGCAGGAAATTACCCCTCTTCTTAACATGTCTCTCCAGGAGTGCTACAGCATCGGGGTTGGAAAGGGAGAGGTGACCACATTTTACAATGTTGCAGGCTTCAGCTTCTCTCAGACAAGAGGCCTCAGAAAGGTGAAAAGGTTTAGGTGGAATTCCAGTGGAATTGCCTCCTGGTGGTGAATCAAACAGTGTTGCTGGCATGTGTTAAGGAACACCAGGATCAGTGGGATCCTTTGCCTGGGATAATTTTGTTAAGAGGTCAACATCCTGGATAAGTTTGGGGTTGCCTGTAAGATAGTGTTCATAGACACAGGGCCCTCTGGTTTGAGACCAGGATCTGCTCTCTGAGTGTGATGTGGTAGGGGTGGGGAATGGTCTATGGGGAATTTGGAATACCAGGGAGAAACAGAGTCTGGGGGCAGAAAGTCACCAGAGAGATGGGGGTAAAGGAAAATTAGGTGAGGGGGTCTTCAGGTGAGGTGAGAAAGTGGAAGGTGAAGGTGGAACATGATCCCGTGGAGGGGCTGACATTTGGCTTCCAGAAGAGCTTTCTGAGAAGGTGGAGTCCAGAGTGTAGGATGAGTCTGAGTCTGTGTGGGAAAGTTTAGAATCTGAAGATGACACAGAGAAGTCAGTAGTATCTTCCTGAGACGTGTGTAATTGCACTCACATGATCTCTTTTGCTTTGGCCCAGATGTCAGAAAGCACCCTTCTTGGGAATATTTCCCCAGATGTGCTGGTGTCACCATCCTGCCCCCAGGGGCTGCAGAAGACAGGAGGAACAGAGCTGCAGTCAGGACCAGAACAAGGAAATGGGGGCTGCTTGCCTTGTGGGGGTGGGGCCCCTGAAACCTGCTCCCTGCTCACCTCACCCCCACCCCTGACATCACAGTTCACTCTGTGGCCTCTCCCCAAGGCCTTCACTCCCATGCCCATTACGTGGCCACCCATCCCATGACTGTGGCAGGTGCACTGAATCCCTGAATGTATGGAACATGCTTTTAGAGGGGACCAGGAGAGACAGAGAGACATTAGTCACCTCATCAGGGCAGAACCTGGCTTCCTTTCCTCCTTTCCTCCTCCGTGGTGGATTTTTATTCCTGAGAAACCAAGAGATTAGGATATGTATAAGGAAGTTAGAAGCAGAAAGATCATACAGGAGTCCCCTTATGGGAAACCCTTGGGATATTAAAGACAGATCAGCAGACAGGGTCAATCAGCAGAAAAGGAAAATGGTCAGCAGCAATATTAGCAAGGTTCACACGTGTATGTGGCCTCATTTAGAAAGTACTTTCATGTCCATTATCCCACATGCTGCTCAAAACCACCATGTGAAGCCCAGACACCAGTGGTCAGGTCAAAGAGGAATCTGAGCACCCAGGAAGTCAAAGTGGTTATGCAAATTCAGGAGACAGAAGTTCCAAAGCCAAACTAGTAGGTTGTCCTTCCTCACCATTCTCATCCTCATCCTCTCAACACCCAGTGCCCAGAGATGTGCAGAGCAGAGGCTCTGAGAAGTGCCTCAGGTCCCATCCTATCCTGTCTCTTCTCAGGACTCTGTTTTCCCAGCGACACTGTATCTAGCAAGTGACACCCTCAGAGATCATGGACCTGGGACCTCAGAGAAGAACAGGGAAGCTCACCCTTGCAGAGACCAGGGCAAATAAACAGAACCTTACCTCTGGTTGGTACATGTTTTTGCCTCCTCTTGGCTCTGCCCTGATCCTGAAAACAGAAAGAAAAGAGTAAAGTCTGGATTCACTTCTCTCCTCGTCTTCTCTAGGAAGCTCAGACATCCATTATCCACAAGTAATATGACTCCCTATTTTAATTAATAGAATTTTATTTTCCTTTATTAATTTTTTAAAGTGATATTTCCAATTTGTCCTTCTTTGAAAAACTCAAAGCCTTTGGTCTGTGAAAACCTCACTTGGTGTCCTCAGAAGTCCTGTGTTCACGGAGGACACAGAATCAGAAGATAACTCTCACATCTGCTCCTCAGAGGACCCTGTGTCCTGGGGACAGAGCTCAGTGGCTCTTGGCATTGCTTTCCTTCAAGGTTAAGTGACGACTCACATGACAAAGCGATTCAACATCGAATACTAGGAGAGACTATTTTCCTTCAGATAACTCATACTTTCTAAATATGCTAAACCAGGACCATGAAACCACTGTATTTGGGGTTTATTCCTGGGACCCACCACAACGCCCAGGCAGGCAGCCTGTGAGCCTGAGCTAGAAACCTCCATCCTCCAGAGCCCCCAGCCCTCATTCTAGAAGACGGATGTTCTTGCGACCTCTAAGCCAGCCCCACTCATTTACTGTGGGAATAGGAACGGGAAACAACAACAAAGACTTCCTCCAGGGTGTTTCTCATCATATAGATGTCATTCCTATCCCATGTGCTTTCAAAACAAGAAAGCGTCATGTCATGCAACATGTAAACTAGCAGCACCCCCAACCCAACCAGTAAGGTGAGCTGGGGGGTACATGTGGAGCAGAGCTGAGCTGAAGCTCTGCCACATTTCAATATGGAGCACAGTGTCCATCATCTTACCAGGAAGCAGCGTGAAGCAACTGAGTGCTGAGGGTGCCCACGCTCGGCTATAGCCCCAGGCCTGCATCACAGAGCACAGCAGAGTCACAGAGGCTTTCTGGGGTGGCAGAGGCGATGACAGGAAGACGGTGTGGTATAGCGCTTCCCCCAAGTGCACCAGATCTCTCCTCCCCTCCTGGGCCCTCTCCGTCCCTCTGTCTCCCCTGCCATCTTACTTTCTAACCCAAACTTTCTTCATATCATATATCTGCTTCAGTGAAATTTTCTATTTGTTTTATCCATAATCCAGATATTACCAGAATTCCCTGCTAACGGGGCAGAGCCCTTGACTTGAATCTTGAAAGTCTCAAATAGCACCTGGAATTTCTGCTTGTACCCAATATTTATACCCTCAGGATGTCCTCACATCCATGTTATCTCCAGGATGCTCTTGTGAGATCCCTTTGGAGGAGGCTGTTCCCTGATTCTTGCCTCCCAGTATCAAGAATGAGCCCTGGTGCCTAGCCAAGGAGGGAGTGAGCACAGACACAAAGCAATCACTGTCAACGTGCACCTGTTATAGAGCAAAGGCCCATGATGTGTAAGGAGAATATATCTCATAGTGAGACAGGACCTGCTCTGAGAATGGAGAAGAGACTGTGAAGTTTGAACACACCTTCCTACATAGGCTGAGTAAGGAACCTGGTTTATCCCCCCTTTGCCAGGCAGGATTGGGTGTGGCCTCCTGCCTTTGGGGTAACTGACATGTTGGGGCTCCATAACAAACTTCTTAACAACATGCCCGTTTCCCATGAACCTTCCCATGAGTGTATGGAGGTCGAAATTCGCCAGTTTTATTACATGACAGTGGGCCCAGTGAGCCAGGTCAGTGTACGATCACTAGGGGTCCTCACTATGTTCCAAGTGGGGAACAGTCTCTAGCTGGAACTCACTGAGACCCTGCATATCCTCAGGGGACTGCAGGTCCCACCCGGGAGAGGTGTTCACGGATACTTCACTGAGCTTTAGCTCTGGTCGCTACATCCTTTCAGTGTGTCATCATGCGCTCGTTTGTGTGGTCATCTGTTATTTCATTCTTTCTTGAGCATCATTTACATGACCTAGAGGATGAATTATGTTTGTTGAGCTAACCGTTCTACAAGGAATGTTAATGTGGATGAATATTCTTATCTCCTTTAAAACAATAGTTCACCCTTTCTGCTGCTGATATATTATTCAGCCGTAATGAGAAACTAACAATCTTGTTGAACAGTCTCCCTTCGGCCTGAGATCTGACACTCAGCCTGTGGCCGACAGGAATGTGACCTCGTCAGGTACCTGTGCTAAGACCTGAAACTTTCACTGACGTGGCCATTCTAATCCAGCTGTGTATTTAATGTGTGTCTAGTTGACCTTATCTCCTCCACCCCAAATTAGTTTATCCCCTATCACATTCTAACCCCATCCTTCCTTTATGAGAAGAGCTTTCTTCCCAAGCAGAACACTTGGAGGATTCAGTAATGCAGAATAGTGCTTCTCAATACTGGTAGGCCCAATACCCCTTTGTGTAAGATAGTTTGTGACAGTCCTTTCACTCTACTGAAAAGAAATACAAGTCACATAATTTACCAGTACACATAATTTTTAACAAGTTAATAAAGTCCTGACCATAATATGTACATTAAGAAGGCAAAACAAGGGGAAAGTCTTTGATAATTTAATGTATTATAATATTTAAATGTTCAGATCTGACTTTACTAGAAAACCTGAGAAAGCAATCAGATGTATATACATGCTTAAAAATGAATAAATGTGGATGAACAGCAATAATTTTGCTCATGAATTTTCTTTATATGTGAAAGAATTCTCTTTGTATTTCTACACATACACAGAATATACCCAATCATGGGGTCGTGGTGACAGCCACAAATGCAGGTGTACCCAGGTGTTGTGAGCTGACATCACTCAGACTTTCAGAAAGGCCTTGCCATTGTTGTGGGATTTTCTCACAAGGGAGCAATTCTTGGTATGGAAGTACCTCTTCCCTTAGTTCCTGTAATTGTTGCATTTAAAAGTTCAGGGTATATGAAACTCGTTAAATACATTATGTGTTTCTATGTAAGGTGATGTGAAATCCAAATACCATGCAGTCCTGTCACCTACATAAATATCCCTTAGCTTATTCACAAGTGAGGCTGGGACCCTTCCATGTACTGCAAACAAACCTCACATCATACCGAGACCTGAACAACCCCTTCCCCCTCCCCTGAGTTCCCAAACCCTGGCGAGGGGTCAGTATCAACTGTGTTTAGGACCACAGGTGGGGTGGTGGATATCAGTGTGGCCCCTGGAAAAACCTCCATGTATTTTCTGCCTAGGAGAAAGAAACACAGTACATACAAATATTTTTATCACAATGGGAAATCCCAGTGTGTATTCATTTATATTAACCATGAAGTAATTATGGAGTGGTCCCCTGTTGCGTATGTCCAGAAGAGAATCCCTGATTGACAGGAAATGTATGTTTTCATATCACAATGAGGAACTGATTTTTGTCACCATTGGGATTCAGAAAGCTCTTCCTGTTCTGAGGGAAGCAGAGCACGTCCCTACGGGCTCTCAGAGTGACCTCAGTTCAGTGCCCATCTGCAGCTGGAGCAGCCTGGTGACCCTTGTAGGTGGAAGACGCTAGAGCCTTGGGTTGCTCTACAAGGGCTGGACATTGAGCATGGGTGCAAGCAGGGGCTGGGACAGAAGCTGGGGGGTCTGTGAGGAGGGCTGTGAGTCCAGAGTGTGTTGAAGAGATCGCCACCCAGAGGCAATGCTGCCGTGACCCCAGACTGCGTCTTTGGCATCAGGTCTCTAGTGAGAGACACTGGAGGGTGATACAATGACCCATCGAAGCTCTTCAGTGAGCGTGTGTGTGAAAAAGAGAGAGACAAGCAGGCAGAGTTATGTTCTATCCTGAACCAGGCAAATTCTCTATCCGAGCAGAGAAGATCCCTTGCTAAGGAACTAGGAGAGGTTTTACTTTCCTCTACTTCCTCCTCTCTCAGTTCCACCTCAGGAAGCTTCACCAGAAGAACAGGAGATGCACTGAAAAGCAAAAATTTTTATTAAGAGCTGGCAGTGCCAACTGTCTGCCCCCAAGATCCTCCACCCTGTGCATCATGCTTTGGTCAGCAGGGCCCAAGCACAAGGGCTGGAGCACACTGTGCAAGGGGAAAGCAGGTGCCCTGAAAAGGGTATTGGTGAGCTCTCCATCTGTCATGTGGGATCCCAGGCTTGGAGCACCTGAGCCTGAGTGACGCTCTGAATGGAGGAGTGTGGCCTCACAGCCTGAGGGGTCGCCTCTGGGATCTGAGTGAATGAGCCACCCAAGCTGCCCTGGTGGTTCTGAGTTAGTCTGAATCTGAGAAGGGCTGGGCAAGCCGAGGGGGTCAGGAAGTACTTCTGCCTTCTGCCTCAAGTAGGGCCAGGCTTTGGCTTCTGGAGTAGAGTGGGCAGCCCAGGTCTTGTTGAGTGTCAGACAAGGGCCCCTCGAGGTGGTGGTCACTGAGGGAACAGCTCTGCAGGTCTGGGCTGCCCTTATGTGGCACACGCAGAGGTTCTGTTGGTTCTCTAGAAAGTTCTACAGGGTAATCAGGATGACCTAAGTGCACAGAGCAAATTCCATATCATTTTCATGTTAGGGCATGGGGTGAATTATTCAAGTCACCTCTCATTGTGTATTGTTATGTTCTAATAACCCCAGCTGCTTGTACTTTTTTTTTTTTAATTAAATTCTATAGCCCCAACAAGTGTCTTCACAAGCATGGGGTTTGTCTGGATTATTGCACCTTTAAATGTTATCTGTCCTCTGATTGACATCAGAGCTTTGAAAGACGGTCCATGAGAGGAAGCAATTACTGGAGTCCCTATGTCACCATGCAGGAAATTCTAAGCAAATTTCTCATTGACTTGAAAGAAGTCCTTTAACTTCCTCTCTAAGAGAGATATCCCCAAATCTCCACTTGGCAAGGGAACTCCCGCCTGAGGCCATGAGGGAAAGCTTCTCTTCAGCTGGTTCTAACCAGTGCAGTAGGACAAGAAAACAAAGTAAATAGCAACCAAATCCCGTGGGAAGAATTAAAACTTCCTTGAGTGTTGAGTGCCCATGTGATTCTCAAATGAGCAAGAGAACTGACTT